GGTGTGTTTGAGATTAGAGTAATGGTGGTCATCGGAGCTGGGTCAAAACTTGTTATCGGCAGTGGTTTGGTACAAAAACGGATGCAAGTGGTCTTTTATGGAGGGTGTTGGCTTGGTTGTTGTGTGGCCTTACCGGCAGAGAAAAATGGCGAGGGGTAACCACCATGTGATGTGCGGTTGTGGTGTTTGTAGGTGTGTGAGGGTGGGTTAAGGCTGAGAAAAAGAGATAGTTAAAGGTGATATTGTTATACGGGTGGGGTTAGTTGAAGGTGATGAAGAGCCATGAGATTGGGAGAGTAGAGTAGTGTGGGTGTTTTTATGTTTTTACCCAGAAGAAGGAAAAATAGTTGTGAAGAAGAAGAAGAAAATCAAAAAATGTGTGTTCTAAGTCCAGAGAGAGAGAGAGAGAGAGAGAGAGAGAGAGAGAGAGAGAGAGAGAGAGAGAAATTTTTGAAATTGAAAAAAATAACGTGAAAGAGGGTTTTTTGATGCACTGCCATTGTGTGTTCTCATTGGTTTATTCTGTGACCATTTTAGAAATTTAGAAGAAAGACCAATAATCTGACTCTGTTTATGTGTGTGTGTGTGTGTGTGTGTGTGTATGTGTGTGTGTGTGTGTGTGTGTGTGTGTGTGTGTGTGTGTGTGTGTGTGTGTGTGTGTGTGTGTGTGTGTGTGTGTGTGTGTGCATGTGTGTGTGTGTGTGAGGGGAGGAGAGTGTAAGTTTATGTGCGGTCTCTAAAATGGGTGTGAATTAGATTTATTGGACTTTTCTCAATTTGAATCGTTAATACTGGTTTTGTCGTTTTTCAGAAATGATATGAAAATAAATATGTTGAAAAATAAATGCAAAAAGTAAAGTACACAAAGATATATCCTGGTTCCTCTCACAACCCGAGAGTATTTCAGTCCCCTTACTCCCCGTGAGACATTTCCACTATGTCAGATCTTTGTATAAGTCTTCCACCAAGACCTATCCTACAATCTTATAACATAAGTCACACAATCAATAAGGACAATCCCCTTATGATCTTTATAAAGTGCAACAAGAGAACAATCCTCCCTTGTTCACTCTCTTGCTTCCAACAATCCTGGACAACAAGGAAATTACAACAAATTGAATTTTTACAAGTGTTTGAATTTGTATAAGAATGTATATCAACTCATAGAATTGATCTTCTCTATCAAGTAGGCAATTATTAATGTGTAATACAAGTGCTTAATGATTTATGTAGTTGAAACTATTTGAAAATGTAATGAAATTGATGTGCAAAAGTTTCAACAAAAAGTTATGTCCAGAACACTTGATTTTGAAAATGAAAGAATATAAGTTTTGAATTGCTATGAAAGAGAGATGAGTTTTGAAATCTGAAAATAATGGTATTTATAAGAGAATTACACCTCTTGTAAAGGGTATAAAATTTCTAAATAATGCAATGATTCAAGGTGTAAAAGTACAACATGTTTAAATCAATATTTTTCTAAAAATGGCACTGGTTCAGTGAAGTAATCGGTTATCTCACCATGTAACCGGTTACCTTAAATTTTTCAAAAAATATGTTCATGTAACCGTTTACCTCACCATGTAACTGGTTACCTAAAAAATTGCAAATTAAGGCGGTTTTTAAGTTCTATTACGGCAGTTTCAAAGTGCTATTACGGCGGTTTCAAATGCCATAATTTGCCAAAAATAAAATAGTTAATTTATAAATCATTTTAAAAGATTCATGAAAGGTTTAACATGAATATCCATGGTTTTTATGAGCAATTAAGATATATATATATATATATATATATATATATATATATATATATATATATATATATATATATATATATATATATATATATATATATATATATATATATATATATATATATATATATATATATATATATATATATATATATATATATATATATATATATATATTTGAATGGTAATGCATATTCAACCATTTTGATTCTTCCATTAATTTTCTAAGGCTTTTTGATAATTTGAACTTGATTGCTCTAGTCTTCAAACTTTGACTCTTCTTTTTGTTGATGTCTTTGTCTTCATCAAAACTCTAAACCAAGGATAAGAAGAACTCTTCTTCACGGGGGAGGGGGGGATAAAACAAGCACGCCAAGTTAAACTGTGCAAACAGTAAATTAATAAAAATGACGTCTTCAAGCTCGATCTTGAAATTTTTCAACCTATAATTTTAAGTACATTTGAGAAATGATTCAATCGGTCTGTATGTAGAACTGGAAATTTACTCTGGTCGATATTTTAAGCATTATGCGAGATGAAATGTATGTTATGATATGTAGATGATGCAAATGTCACGATGAATGTACCAATTTATCGAATGAGGAGACAAATTGGAGTGTGACACTATTGATCATCCTTATTCTTTTAACTTTATAGGTCAACCCTAACTATCTTCCTTTCAACTCTGCCACATCGGTCTAACTTTGTTATTTAAAGCTTCTACTAACATCTTTTACCTCAAGGTATGTTGAGTATTGGTCATAAATCTATGGCATGATATAACTCATCACCAAAGCTACTCCTGCATTATCATTGTCGCTCCATCAACATGGCTAGCAGCCTAATCACCATTGTCATTAAGACTTTCGACACAATAAGACAAATGTTTTAGTAACCATCGACTATGATATACTATGTGAACAAGAGGAGAGCTTATGAGTTCATCCACATTGGACCTTAACCTACCACACAAATGAGTTAGATGCCCTATATTGACAAAAAAAAGCTTTAAGAGTCATCTCGCTTATTTGTTATTCATCGTCCACTATAAAACCTATAATTCTCATTTGATATAATATAACATTTTTCCTATATCCTCGCATGTGAGTGAAAGTAGTTTGAATTATGGTTGCCATCCTTATTCATCTATCTTAAGATATCTGAAAATTAATGAATATTTAAGCATGTAAAAAATGTATCAAACCATGCTATTGGAAATCACGATCTCTTATGTAGAATGATATATTTTTCTCTAAGATCCAACCTTTTAATTTTCAGGGGAGACAGATAATAGTAATTTGATGTTTTGTAGAGAGGTGAGTAAAGTATGATCAAAAATTGTTGCACCCATAAGTCAAACTCAAATTCTCCCAAATGATTCGTTTGTAAGAGGTTAAATAGGTTAAACACCTCTTTATTTCAACTTATAAAATCTCCAATAAGACTTTTAAATTTTTCCTTTAGACTTTGTTTAGCAGTTTATAGGGGAAGGAAAGAAAGGAATTTGAAAAGCAATGAAGGATTGAGTAAAAATAATAGAAGAATTTAGACGGGGAAGGTTTTGGGGAATTTATTTTTACTCAAAAACCAAAGTCCCTCTAATTTGAAGAAACTAAAAAATATTTTATAAAAGAAAAGGGTTTGGAGGATTTTAGAGGGTTTAAAAAATTCTTTAAATATAATTTATGATATTATGGTATTCTAAAAATTAAAAATATGTTAATGATAAACTTTCTTCCTTTCTCTTCCAAATTCCAATCCTCTATGATAAAACCATCCAACCATATAAATTTAACTGTAACCAACTTTTTGAAAATTATCTCTCAATAAACTTTAGGCGACTTCCAGTTTACCCCCCTGTAAATTTTTGTTTTGCAAATGCCCCATTGCCATTTCAAGATTCCATCAATATACACCTTTGAGAGATCTGGCACATGCCAAGTGCATATGTGTCAAGCTGAGTGGCATTTTTTTATTTTCCATTTTTTTAAATGACACCTAAGCTTGTTTTTTCCACATCAGTAATTATTGATGTATATAGTATTATTACATTTCTTCTTCTTCTCCAAAGTATGTTTGTAGAAGTTCCTCTTCAAAATAGGGCATGAAAATGGGTGGTAGCAGAAGTTCCTCCATTGCCAATTCAACCGGTAGGGAAATACCCAGATGTGGTTGCAACATTCCAATGAACATGTTGGTGTCAAATACTCAAGAAAATCCTAGGAGGAATACAAAAATCGTGGAAAGGTAATTTATATTTGTTGGTTCTAATTAGAGTATAGTAACATGTTTGATTCATTTGAAAATTTCTAATTTTAGAGTGAGGTAGCATGTGATTTGTTCGTTTGGGACGATGAAGTGGATGAGCTCTTTATGAGCAGTCGAAACACATAAGTTTTCAGAGGTGAAGAGATGGAGTGTAACAATTGTGAATTCACAATTGGGCATCTGAAAGGTTTTTCTAAAGAATATGGGAAAGAGATTTGAATCGAGTTTTCCAAAGAATATGGGAAGGAGGCATGTTCAAAGAAGGTTGAAAAGTTGAAAAATATGTTGAAAATTGAAAAGGAAAAAAATTTATGGTTGATGTTGGCCCTGATAGTGTCATAGATGTTGTTTTCTCTTGTCTACAAAATGTGTTTAATGTAATGTTTTTGTTTACCATGTAGTGTTTTTTGTTTACAATGTAATGTACCAATTTGGTGTAATTAATGAAGGAGACGAATTACATACAAATTTTGGTTAATTTGTTGTTTACAAAGTTTGGTTAAAAGCATATATGTCTTAACATAAGTCATAACAAATTCAAAGTTTTGTTAACATAAGTCATAACATAGCTTAAAGGCATAACATGCATAACTTCAAAGTTTGGTTAAAAGCATAACTTCAAAGTTTGGTTAAAAGAATTACTTCATAGTTTGGTTAAAATCATAACTTCAAAGTTATGTTAACATAAGTCATAACTGGCATAACATAACCATAACCATAACATAACTATAAATCATAATCATAACTGGCATAACATAAGTCATAACTCATATAACATAACCAAATCTTAACATAAGTCATTCAACATAACAAATTCAACATAACCAAAAGCACTTGAAGTGCAACTGTCATAACATAATTGTAATTAAAAGCATTCTAAGTGCATATGTCATAAGCAGGACCTAAACATAATCAAAAGCACTTGAAGTGAAACAGTCATTACAATACACACACAAAATTAAACTAATCAAGATTTCACTAAGCCCTTGAGATGTTACTCCAAGACTTCATTGCCCTGACACATGTCCCTAGCTTAGGGTCTGAGCCAACTTTAGCATCTTCTTGAGTTAATGTACCCTCTTCATCCTCTTGAATGACCAGTGGTTCAACAATAGTTGTTCTAGGTCCCTTATGTGTCTTGGTTTTCAACATCATCAACATGTCACTTGATCTTTTATGTCCAACAAGTTTCACTTTTTTCTTGCCCTTGAGCTTGTTCATATCCTTTGGGATTGAATTAGTGTCATCAACTTATGCTTCAGCAATTGGTACATCTCCTTGGTGAATAATTGGTACATCTCTTTGGTCAGCAACTAGTATTTGGATTTAGTTAACAACTGGTACTTGGATTTGGTCAGCAATTGGTACTTAGAATTGGTTAGCAACTGGTACTTGGACTTGGTCAGCAACTGGTACTTGGATTTGGTCAGCAGCTAATACATCTCCTTGCTGAGCAACTGGTACATCTCCTTGGTCCGCAACTGGTACATCTCCTTGGTCAGCAATTGGTGCTACATTTGAAAATAGAAGCCAAATCAACAACAAGATGTTAATATAAACAATTCAAAATATATTGCAATAGGAATGAGTTAATGTACCTTTATTTTCAAAGCATCTGGATTCTAAATTGTAGCCTTACACTTTCTTGAGTTATGACCAATTTTGTCACACTTAGTGCATCTATAGGTAACTCCAACTCTCCTCATTCTTAAACCTCCCTCACCCAGTTCCCTGAATCTTAACTTCTTGGGACTGCCAGGTCCTTTCTTGTATAAAGGAGGAAGCAACTCATCTACTTCAACTGATGGTCACATATCCATCCCATTTATTGGGCTAATTACAACACTATATGTCAGCCCATATTTTTCTCTAGAGTAGCAATCATCCACATAATCCTCAGGTTTAAGTTGCCTATAAGCCAATTATGCACAAGCATGCCTACATGGAATCCAAATTAAATCCCAAAACCCACAAACACCAACAATAAATTATTGAGAATTGTATGCTTGTTTGACCTCTCATTGCTCATTCATACACCAAGATGGATTCCATTGCCTACTCATGAATACCTCCTTATCTAGTCCCTTCCTAGGAATAGGCATAATCCTATGTTCCCATCTTTCAAGCGTAGCTATAATAGATGAAATTATGTTCATAAGATATTTTCTAATCCATTCACACATTGTTAAAATTAGTTTATCTCTAGCACCTAGTATTATTGCATTAAATGATTCTGAAATGTTATTCATTAACACATCACGTTTAGGGTATATATTAAAAGCATGCTTACACCATGTTTTAGTAAGGACCTTCATCAACCATTCACAAGTATTTGGATCCACTTTCTTTAGCTCAGTCATCTTCTCCTCCCAAGCTTTATAATATGTTGCCTTAGCTGCTCCCATCATTAGGTCTCCAATCAAAGTGCATCAACCAAATTTCTTCTTGAAATTTGCATACATATGTCTAAGGCACAATCTATGTTCAATTATTTCAAACATGTCTTCAAAAACACTTACCAAATCCTATAAATATTAACAACTCAGAAATCAGATTATAAGGTAAATATTTTTCATGGGTAGAGTGATAAAGAAAAACTTATAAATACCTTTTGTTGGTTTGAGATGAAGACATATGTTCTGTCAATATCAACCACTCCAAATGCCAATGGAAAGTACTTTTCATTTGGATCCCTTCCTACTGCTATCAACAACTAACCACCAAAATTACTCTTCAAATGGCATCCATTCGCACCAATAAATGGTCTACACCCCTGAAAGAAACCCTTTTTGCAGCCATCCAAAAAGAAGTAGAAATACCCAAATCTTGGTTGAATAGATGGATTAGGTATTTCTACATTAATCTTCATTATACTCCCTGCACATGTTCTTCTTAATTCAGTTGCATATTGTCGCTACCGCAAAAATCGGCGCCGGCTGAACAGAAGAGTCGCCACCGTGCATTATTTATCCCAAAGGAGGGAAAGGAAACGCTCGATGTAAACCTACCGCAAAGACGGGAAAGGAATGGTCATCGCAACCAAATCCTGGATTCGGGAGTCGGTTACGCAAGGGGAAGGTATTAGCACCCCTCACGTTCGTCGTACTCGACGGGATCCACGCTTGTTTTCTAGTACGGATTGTTATTCTATCTATTCTACAGGGCTGGGTTAAAAAGAAAATAAAATGACTCGGCAAAGTATCACACTTTATGCCTACGTATTCCCGTCTGGAACGAGAAATCAGAGTCAACGTAGTTCGCCTACCTACGGGAAAGGGGGGGAAGGTTGCTCGCTAGGATATCGCATCCTATGCCTACGTACTTTCATACAACATGAAAGATCAGAGCAAACGTAGTTCGGGCCACGGAAGACACAGATTTGTCTATTTATCTTTTATCCTTCTGAAAAAGGTTTTCTCCTGATTACGGGTCCAAGCGGACAAAAATGACACTTTGATTGGTTTTCAGTCTTTTACGCAAGAACTGTTTTTTTATTGATATTTGAAATCTTATTACTGTGTTTTGAATGATTTTGAGATAGAAGAGAAAGAACTCTAAAAACCTATGGTTAAGATAGGAATCAAAAACTATCCTAATGTTGTCATGCATGGATTAACACCTAATGTCTGTCGTATTTCTCTCTTGCGCAAAGAGAAACAGAGATCCTAGGGGATAGACGGAAAAGAAACATCAAATATACAGTAAAGCAGTAAAATGCATGAATGCAGCATTACAAGCGAAGCAAGGGAGTCCCACTCAACCTCGAACCTGAGAAAACAATAGGTAAAGTGAAACAACTTCACTTCAAACCTAAGGGGAAAATTAACAAACAATACAACAAGGAAAAATAAACCCCAAAATCAGCTCTGACAGCACACCAGCTCCTACAGCAGCAGCTCTGAACAACATCCAACTCTGACAGTTAATTAACAGCAAAATAGTAATATCTTCAATTGAACTCCAAGATCAAACTTCAATGGCCTCCAAGCTTTAGGTATGCTCCATCTTCAAGGCAAGCACTCCAGAAGAGAATCACTTAACAGAATAAGTTGGAATGATAAAACAGCTTATTGACAACCAAAGGAAGCCTATAAGAGTTTATCATCATGAAAGACTGGTTCCCTCAAAGTTCTACCTCTAAGATAAGCCACGTATCCCTCCAAAGGAGGGAGGTGAATACCCTAGAGGGACTTTATGTCATAGAGAGGAATGGAAGCACAAGAAACTATCCATGCTTATACAAAGAATTTGGTCTATTCTAAGGCTCTACTTATCCCTATTTCCTATGTCCTCAATCAACTCCCAGCACAAACAATCTTCAAGCTTCAACATTTGATCTTCAATCTTCTCTTTTAATGTCTTCATGCTCCATAAGCTCAAGCCAAGCCCCATACCCCATATCAAAGCCCAAAATCCCCAACACACAATTAAAAACCCAAGTGGGAACACCAAACAAACACTCCATTTGTAAAATATACTAAAAATAGTAATATAGTATTTAAAATTCTAAGATTAATTCGAAGGGGATTTCTACATCTACCATACATACCCTATATGTCCCAGAACCTAATTCATGCTAAAAACCCCAAAATAAAATGTTATAATGCACCTATGTTGAGTTTGAACCCTACTACTATCACCCTAATGTTCTCTAATCAAAACTAAACAAGATTAAATCACAAAAATGTGAGATAAGTCTCTAAGGGAACCTATACTTCTAATCTAATCAACCCAACAAGAATCAACTCAAAACTATTCACCAATTGGTCACAAGCAAATTTACAAAAACATGTATCAAATGTACAAAATTAAAGAAATCAATAAAATGGGAAAAATCAAATTAAATTGAAAAAATGGGTGAATATGAAATTTATTATTTTCATAAAATCATAAATAAATCCAAGATCATGGAGGTATTTTTGAAATATTTTTCTGATTAATTTTGGATTTATTATGATTTTTGTAGTAAACTATATGCAAATAATATGAAAATTCAAACACAAATAAAAAACAGGGGTGGCAAAAGTAATTCCTACAGTTCAGAAACTGATTGGGTCCAGGGGGGTGCAGCAGCAAAACACACTAGGCCCATAGTTATTCCAGAAAACTAAAAAAAACCATAACTGAAAAATAATAGGGGGGGGCGGATAGAACAGGTTCGCCCTGATTCACGTTTGGGCCCCAAACGGGGGGGTGTAATCAGCAAACGGCCTAAGGCCCAAAACGCATTCACACATGGGAGAGGGGGTGCGAATGGTAAACGAAGGGGGATGGATCAGCAATCCCAAATGGGCCTAATGCCCTATCCCAATCCACTCTCAGCACTAGCAAACAAAACCCCAAACTACTCTACACTGTTCATCCCTAACCAAATCCTAGCGCAGCCGTTGCTCAAACCTTCCATCCTCTCTCTGAAACAAACTCTGAAACTAAATCAACATCAACCTTTGTTCTCAATCCAATCACCAGCAACATTACTCACCGCTATCACCAATTACTCCTTCAAAACTCAGTTCAAAGACGCTAATCCTTAACTTACTCGCCTCACAAAACTCTGATATCCAAACCTAAACACACGGATCTACCCTAATCTCATTCCCAACCTAGCACTCAAAAATAAGCTAGATCCAGCTAACCAAACCGCATGCATGTTTACGAGTTAGAGAAGGAAGAACAAGAACCTGGAGAATCTGATGAAGACGGAGGTTCTGGGAAGAATTTGAAGTTCTTTCAGTATACTTGTTCTTGAGGATTCTGGAAAAAATCTGAAGGTGTTTGATGACTGGTTGACGAACGACGTTGAAGGTTCTGAAAGTATAATGACGGTTGATGCGTTTCTGGAATCACACTTGATGAAGATCTTGAAGTCGTGATGAATGTTCCTACGAAGAACTTCTGGAAAAACTCTATGAATATCTTGGCGAATCTGGAGATAATCTTGAATCCTGAAGATGGTTGATGAATCATAAAGTTCTTGGCGATTTGATGAAGATCTGATGATCTTGTTGATGATCGTTTTCTGGGAAATCGATGAGTTTCTGGTGAGTTTGGGAAGAATCGACGAAGTTTCCGGCGAAACCTTGAGTTTACCGGTGGGATATTGGTGAATGCTGATCGGAAGTGGATGGTGAAGAATGCAGATTCCGATGAGCTTGAAGATTCCGGCGACAGTTACCGGTGGTCGGAGATGGTTAGGATGACCGGAGGTGAGCGGTTGGGGT